CTCATGCAACCCCATACCATCAGTGATGCAGGCTTCTGAACGGAGCGTTGATAACAACTTGGGCTATCCTTGTCCTCTCTGGTCCGGATGACATGGCGTCCCAGTGTTCCATAAAGAACTTCAAATCGTGACTCATCTGACCACAGAACAGTCTTCCATTTTGCCACACTCCATTTTAAATGACCCCTGGCCCAGTGCAAACGTCTGAGCTTGTGGAGCTTGCTTAGAAATGGCTTCCGCTTTGCACTGTAGAGTTTCAGCTGGCAACGGCGGATGGCATGGTGGATTGTGTTCACTGACAATGCTTTCTGGAAGTATTCCTGAGCCCACTCTGTTATTTCCTTGACAGTGGCATTCCTGTTTGAGGTGCAGTGATGTTTAAGGGCCCAGAGATCACGAGCATCCAGTAGAGTTTTACGGCCTTGACCCTTACGCACAGCGATTGTTCCAGATTCTCTGAATCTTTTGATGATGTTATGCACGGTTGATGATGATAACTTAAAAGTCTTTGCTATTTTACGCTGGGTAACACCATTCTGGTATTGCTGCACTATCTTTCTGCGCAACAATGGTGGAATTGGTGATCCTCTTACCATCTTGGCTTCTGAGACACTGACTCTGAGAAGCTCTTTTTATACCCAATCATGTTGTCAATTGACCTCATTAGTGTTAATTGGTCTTCCAGCTGTTTGTTATATGCTCAATTTTATTTTTCCAGCCACTTATTGCTACTTGTCCCAACTTTTTTGGGATTTGTTGACACTGTGAAATTTTGAATCAACATATGTTTCCTTTAAAATGTTACATTTACTCAGATTAAACTTTTGATCTGTCATCTATGTTATATTACGAATAAAATATTGACATTTGCCATCTCCACATCATTGCATTCAGTTTTTATTCACAATTTGTTTAGTGTCCCAACTTTTTTGGAATCCGGTTTGTATTTAAAAGTGGAGTGTCTTCAAATTCTCTGGACCGTTTGTGAATCTCTGGCAGTTTAATAGAGACAATTTAATGAATGAACAAACTGGGTTAAGTTAAACTTCATCTACTTGATAACTTAGTTGTTTTAAACAACTTTTGTCCACTTCAGCCCTCGTGGCAGCAGACACCACCAACTGTAAGTACGAGTCATGAAAACTTTGTGTCAGCCCCTCCTGGTGGTCAATCCCGTCACTGCAGCCAGATATCCCTCACCCCTTTCTCACCAAATACCTGGCTTGTAATGTCTGTCTCCCCTCTCTTCCTTTCTTTTCTTATTGCCTCTTGCTCCATTCTTGGTCCATTAAAGGCCATGAAATAGATTTTAAAACTTTTACTTCCCCCCCACTTTCTCCTTAGTTTCTCACAGGTACAGTAAATGTAGCTGAAGTGAAATCTCTTCCTGTTTCTGATGTTTTGCAGTAATCACGTGGAGGATCAAGATGTGATGATGACCAACGAGAATCAGATTGTTCATCACAACAAGAAGAAGCAGACAGCAGATCCAGGTGGGTCTGGAAAACTGCTGAACTGAAAATAAATGACATCTTTCTTGGTTTCTGTTTGTTAATGTATTTGTTCTCATTTAATTTAGCTCTTCGGCCTAAAACATGCATGACTGATGGTGGAAAACATGGAAAGAGGAGATACTAGGAGACTTGGATAAATAATTTACACAGAGTGGAGACTGAACAAAAGGACCTACAGCTGACTACTTCTCTCCACCATTGGTAGGCAAACCTTTTAAATAAAGAAGCCACCACAGAAGAGGACAGTGCTTGTTCTGTTTGTTTGCACAGTGAGTTCCACTTCACATTTGGATTCCTTCTGTCTTTTGCCATGTAAACACACTCACAGATGCATGATGGATACAAGTAACAAATACTGTACAACACGAGTTATCCCTCCCACAGTGCCAGAATTTTGAGAGGTTGCATTCTACCAGCCCAGTAACTGTGCCTAGTACTGAACACTGTACCTTGTGGCTGCTATGTGACTTGTGCTGCATATTCCACTACTTGTATGTAACATCCCCTTCAAAATAAAATAAACTTCATTATCTTCTCTACTTATGAGCCAAATCATAACCTGAGCATAACAAATGTTCAACTTATTATAAAGCTATGCAGCCAGTTTATATCTGTTATCAATGACTATATTCTGCAGCAGGTTTTACCTGGAAGTGCTTTCTGAGCAATGTATACCTTTTTGTAGGATCTACATTGACACTCACGTATTAAAAAGTAAAACTTAGTACATTTCACCTTAAAGAACTGAAGTTATGCAAAGCTTTGTATGCATATTATCGCATTTACTTGGCTTTTCTAAATGATTTTGTTTATACGAGCTTAGCATTGGGTAGTAAAGGCTTGTTTGCAATCCAAGTGACCTTTATCAAAAGTTGCAATGTGCTTAAGGTACTTTTGGAGGCAAACTTTTTTGAGCTACTGAAGCTTTTTTCTCCTTTAAGAAAAAGTGTAAATAAAAGGCTCTCTATTATGCAAGTACTAATATCATACCTCAAATTAGATCTAGTAATGGATAAATCCTGTTTCACTGTCACTGTAACACTGAAGTCCGTGGTGTGCTTCCCTCAAGTATTCACTGTATTGTTGCACGGAGTCCTCAACTTTATCTGTTTATTATCTAAAATCAATTACTGCTATAAATAATTTCACACTGTTTCCTTGTGGGAGTAGTTTGTTTTATGAAATGGAGTTTTATGTATTTAAGTTCAAAATGTCTCATAGTTTCAAATCACAAGTTCTGCTCCTGAATGGTGACAATTGTATGTTTGACTTTTTTTACATTTATTTTTCTACTCTTTATATGTGTATATTTGATGTAGGTTTATTTAAATAAAATGTAACAAATATTCTGGGGGAAAAAGTTGTGCGATTGTTTTTTTTTTCTCCTCCAGAGAGTTTTGATTGAATAAATACACAAACTGCTCAGCCTGACTTAATTCAAACTTTGAGCCATAGGTTTATATTTTTAGACCAGCCCAAACAAAATCATGTTCATTTTCTCCCAAAGGGGAGGAATAAAAACACCCCAAAGAGGGAATTCCACAAGAGACAGCCGAGCTCCATAAATACATCCTGAGAATTTTAATGCACAATTCGCAGTAGATGCCATTGTATTTGTAAGGAATGAGCATTCAGTGTCAGTCTGCTCCTGGGACAGAGCTTTAGTGGTGGAAAAAGTGACAAGACAATCACTTTTACAAACATTTAGCTGATTACATCCGTGTCTCAAACAACTTTGAGAATGGCAGGCTCAGATCTTCCCTGGGAAGGTCCCCTCTTCTCGCTGCTCATCCCATTTCTCAACCTAGGAAAAGAAAAGGAAAGTTTAGATAAAACTTTGTGAAAATGGATACTTTAGTGTGAGGTATAAAATTTAAGTGCTTCTTAGTCTCTCTTAAATCATCTGAACCCATTCCTCTGCATCTTTTATATTTTAATTTTTTAATTTTCCCTGGTTTAAATCTGTAACAAGGTTCTGCTGACATTTATGACATGATGAAATGGTCATTTAATAATTTGATTGTGTTGAGCTGCAGCAGGGACACAGCTAAGTGAATCATGAGGATCAGAGAGGTGGCAAAACATTACGGAGTCAGGTGCAATAATAACCTACACTACCTAACATCACTTGTCATGTGACACGGGAAGGTTAGATATTACCTACTTCCTGCACAGTGTGGATATAAACCACTTTATTTTCATTTTATTTATTTAGTGTTGTTTCAGCGTTTGACTGACAGAGAGCTCTGCACAAGAATTCCAATGTGCCTGGATTGTTGGTCTGTGCACAAACGGCACATAAAGAACTTTGTACTTTGTACTATGAAGCAAGTTCAACATAGCTGAGCTTTCCTTGTGTTAGCTGCCTCAATAAAACCTGAACTACTATGAAGCTTGTTTACAGGTCTCTCTTGTAAATGACTCACTGAGAATAACCTGTAGAAAAGGTTGAATGAAAAAAAATGACCTGAATTTATGGTTACTATTAGAAACCAATCCACTTTATTTTCCTTCTAACTGTAAGCTATTATTACAAATAGACACTGAGAATACTAATTTGTGAGCGTACTTACTGTAAGTTTATTAATTTAACATCTATCTTAGATCCTTGTATACTGTTTCTTTATATACTTGTGCTATTTTTGGGTGTAACTGGGACCTTGAGTACACAATTTAGTTCCACCTCATGTACCACATGTGATGCGAATGACAATAAAGAACCTTGAACTTGAACATAAACGTTTCATTATGAGTTTAGTATCTGAATCCAGATCAGTGAATGAGTTGAGCCTCCTGCAGACAACTGAGGCTAAAACTCTGAACCTGCCTAGAACCAGATGAGTTCTGTGTGATGTGTCCAAAAAACACCCAGCTGCCCCATCAGCGCCACAGAAATGGTTTTAAAATCCTCGCGTTGACTCTTAAATGCTCGAATGATCTGGCCTCCATCTCAGACTTGCTTCAACCCTATATTTTTAAGTGGGTCGTGAGATCATCGTTGCTTTTAGTCATCAAGAAAAATCTCGGGAGAGATCGGGCTTTTTAGTCACGACTCCCAAACTCTTTAACAAGCTGCCTTTTAATATAAGACGGACTTTACTTAATGTTGACTGCTCGTTTCATTTATGTGCTCTTATTTTTTAACTTGTTTTTACCACAGTGTTCGTCTTGTACAGTATTATTGTACAGACCTTTGATTACAACCTGTTTTTAAATGTGTTGCCTATATATAAATTGATTTTCTAGGAATGATAAATATTGAAAGGAAATTAGGACGACAACTGATATTTAGTTGTCAAAACAAACGTGAAAAATCTTAAAAACCCAAATTAAAGACACTGAAATCTTGGACTTGAATACAACTTTTGCTCAGCTGAAATTATCTGGTTTCATTTGAATTTCATGTTTTGATTTGCTGCACTACTGAGACATCTGGGAATAAAAGGGGGGACATATGTTTTTGGACCTCTGCTGAACTAACTTGACCCCCACAGTCATATCGTTGCTCTTTTAGTTCAATTTAAAGTTAGTTGAGAAAATAATTATTTACCCAAGCCATGGGGCAGAGGGATTTGTAGACCTTCCCGTACCATTCACAGGGGGTGGTGTCCACTCCTTTAGCAGTCAGAGCTTTCTGACAGCGATGGTAGTCTAACAATAAACAGACAAGAGGAAAAGAGCTTTATTTAAATAAACTGTTTGGTGTAAAGTATGTGACAATCCATGGATCAAATTAATCTACAAACCGGATTCCAAAAAAGTTGGGACACTAAACAAATTGTGAAAAAAAACTGAATGCAATGATGTGGAGGTGCCAACATCTAGTATTTTATTCAAAATAGAACACAAATCACAGATCAAAAGTTTAAACTGAGAGAATGTATCATTTTAAGGGAAAATCTGTTGTTTCCAAATTTCATGGTGTCAACAAATCCCTAAAAAGTTGGGACAAGTCCATTTTTACCACTGTGTGGCATCCCCCCTTCTTCTTACAACACTCAACAGACGTCTGGGGACAGAGGAGACCAGTTTCTCAAGTTTAGAAATAGGAATGCTCTCCCATTCATGTCTAATACAGGCCTCTAACTGTTCAATC